GTGGCAGTGGCAGCATGAGACTTGGTCAAGTTTGTTTCTTTAGTCTGTTAGTATCCTTGAATATCTTTTAGCCAGTAGTAGATAAGCTTAGTTTGTTTTAGTAGATAAGCCCCAGGGGTGAGCAGTTCCTATTTTATTTCCTAGTTTGTAGCATTGTTGTTACATAGTTAAGGCTATAAATATAGCCTGAAGGAGTGAATAAACATCATCAGCATTTTCTGTCGTAGAATTCTTTCTTTCTCCCTCTCTCTGACCCTCTTCTCCTTTACTTAAATTCAGTCATATCATCTACCTTCAGGAAACCAGACTAGTTGCCTCCTTCCTTTCCCGATATATTCAGAAAGAGCTAAGTAACCCCCTTTACTGTTTCTTCTGCATTCTACAACATATCTCTTCCCTTCTTGAGTTCTCCATTCCTTCCAGTTTCTTTATTTACCTTTGAGGCATGCTTCATTCACATACTCCCTGAACAATTTAATCACTTCCATACCTTGCAACAGCACTGTGGCCTTCTTCCCTTCCCTAATCTTCAAGCTTGCCCCTCCTTTGTTTTGCAGCTCTTCAAGCAGAAACTCCTTAGCTTCAAACTTCAGCATTCTCCTCCATCGTCCTGCAGCCACAAACCCATCCATAGTCGAATCTTCTTTTTTACAGGTCTTCAAACTGACCTAGAACTCCATTTCCTAGCTTCTCGGGGACAAATGCCAATTAGACCAGCCACATGGGCCCCATCATTCAGCCTTAAATTTTTTGTCAAACACACCAACTATCAGAAGAGCACATGAATGTCACCTTTATTTAAGTATACTCCTTGGACTTCTTTTCAAGGGGAGAGTTGTAATGCTAGAGAAGACTAAAGAGAGCCCTTTTCCTTTACATTTGCAACTTTTGAAGAATAAAAAGTTGTAGCAAGAACAGTAGAAAGAAGAGAGAGAGAGAGGGAGGGAGGGAGGGAGGAAGAAGAAGAAGAAAAGAAGAGATGGCAGGTGAAGAGAGAAAAAAGCTCCCTTTTTGTTAGCTTTTGACACCCCCTATAGCTATCCATTCCAAATCTACCTATAAATTTTCATTCAGAAAATCTAACCTAGAACTATTTTCTTCAATTCAAAATTTCGCAACATTTTATGTCACATTTTTTATTCTTGCAATTAAGCCCCCAAAAAAGCTTTCTAACCTAACCAATCTCAACCATTAATCCTACATTCCTAGACCCTTCCTATCCAAGCATCGCCCTCCTTAAATGCATCCTTGAGAGTCATTTCTAATCCTACATCAATTGGTACTAGAGCAAGTGGTCCTACATTAACTTATCTACATGACCTACCACATTTCTGCCATTTGGAGGGATGATATAGCCAATCTGGGTTGTCCACCAAGGGACCTTCTGGATTGACCACTGTTCAATCTCCTGTCCATACCAGCCTTTCACCCTCCCATTTTGTTTGCTCAGCTAATATGATTATTAGAGTTTTCACTATTTAGATAAAGAAACCCATCCAGAAGGCAAGTTTATTTTGTGCCACATGGCATGAATTTATGGGACAAAGTTTGCCAGCATTAGTAAATAATACTGAAAGGAACTGTGGGACCATTTTGAGCCCAAAACCAATTTGTCATGTGGAATAAGGATCTTACCTCTAATAAACTTGAAATGCTCCAACGCACAACATTGCGGACAATGCCTCCATCAGACTGCTTGTGACATTCAAATTTTTGGAAGATTTGCCCAACCTACAAAATTATTCAACCAAAAATAGACAGAAATATATTTCAAGTATTCTGATTACTTCATCACAAGCAAACAAGAAGAAAACAGTTCTTGAATATCATAAATTACCTTAAAATTAACTAAACATAATTACCACCTGATAAATTAATGAAAAATCCATATCAAGAGATCAGATTGCATAGACAAAAATAGACCAAGTCTACAAAGGTAGAAAAGGATTAAAATCATAAGTGGGAAAAAGCATAACAATGATGGTTTAAGAGATACCCAAGCATCACATAATTAATGCCTGGGTGGTTCCAGACCTCTAATGCCTAGACTGTACCCCAAGGCAGGTAGTAATGCAGCAGGAAATAGGAAAGATGTTAGGATTGGATGTCAGAGGTAGAATATCCCTCCAGAATCTGGCAACAGCCACAAAAAAATCTTCATTAGTTGCTATTACAAAAAGAGACAGAAACACTTCTGTGAGAGGACTGTTCTCACTTGGGGTGTTTTGGTTCGAGAGAGAGCCTAGAATCGAATCGGAATGGCCCATTCCAATTCCAGATGTTTAGTTGAACGGAATGGCGGAATTGGATTCCCCCGTATGAGGGAATGCCAATTCCTGATCCCCCCCCAGGGAATGCCATTCCCATTCCGGTCCATGTCTTCGATTTTTTGGACAAAAAATACCCCCTTCGTTTCCAACCCTAGTCAACCAAAGTTGGGAATGCCGCGTGGCTGTGAGCAAGAAGCCTGGCCTCCATACTAGCCACCGCCGTCGACCCCACCTCCAGCAAGGTAAGACCGCTGCCGACCCATTCTTCTTCTAAATCAACCGCCCCTCTTCTTGCTCCTCCTCCTCCTCAAACCAGATTATCACCCAGTCAAGGTATTTCTCTGACTACAATATGAATTGTTTTACAACCTAGAGTGTCTCTATTTTCAACCTAAAGTGTCTCTGTTATAGAATACATAACAAAACTATGTACTTTACTGAAATGACTGAATATCATTTTTATTTGAATGAGACTGTCTACTTGTCTTTTGTATATGCTTTTGAGCAAAATATCAAACAAAACTGTCTACTTGTCTTTTGTATTGCATGCTATGAATACGCCATGAGAAGATTGAAATATTGACATTACAAGCTTCCAAGTATGAGCTCTTCTGCCAGTTTGTCTTCATATCAATGGGAAATGACTCCATTTTGGATGACAACAGTAGTCGATCAAGACTACAATCAGTCTTGAATTCGAAAGCAAAAAAGAAATATTTTAGAAAAAAGAAGAAGAGAGGGAGAAAAGAAGAAGCACACGAAGGGTTTTAGAAAAGAGAGAGTTGGTCAATCATAATGATCTGCCAACCCACTCTTAATATTTATATATGTTGACTAATTGTAAAAGGGCTGAATTGCCCTTATTGCTTACATGGCAAATAAACTAATAAACAAGTTGTAACAACAAACTGAAATAACTACCAACTAACACTGACAAAACTAACAAAAAAAACATATGCTATGCTGCCATACGACCACAGCAGTGGGGTCCACATCAGTGTTCTCTACACTCCCCCTCAAGTTGGAAATAGATATTTGTCATTCCCAACTTGCATAGGTCTGCCTCTAATTTCTTCCTTGAACAGCCTTGGTGAGAAGATCTGCGAGCTGCATGCTGGAGGTGATATACGGGAGACACACTTCTTGAGACGAAACCCTTTCTTTGACAAAAATGTCGATCGACTTCAATATGCTTAGTTCTGTCATGCTGTACCGGATTATGAGCTATATTAATAGCATCTTGATTATCACAATACAACATTAATGGCTTCTCATAACCAATACCCAACTCCTCAAATAATGACTTCAGCCATAGGATTTCAGCCACACCATTAACCATAGATCTATATTCAGCTTCAGCACTAGAACGAGAAACAACACTTTGTTTCTTACTCCTCCAGGAGACAAGGTTACCTCCTACAAAGGCCCAATATCCAGAGGTAGACCTTCTGTCATCAACACTCCCAGCCCAATCAKCATCTGTATAGACCTCTATCTTCATGTGATCATTATTCTTAAATAATATACCTCTACCTGAACATCTTTTCAAGTATGCTAGTATTCTCTCAACTGCAAGGAGGTGAGTAGTTCTAGGAGAATGCAAATATTGACTGACAATGCTGACTGCATAACAGATGTCCGGTCGTGTGAGACAAAGATAGAGGAGTTTTCCAACCAACCGTTGGAACATAGCTTTGCCTTCAAGAGACTCTCCACCCTCTGCACTGATCTTGTGATTCTGTTCAATAGGTGTATCTGCAGGCTTAACACCCAACTTTCCAGTTTCTGCTAATAGATCTAGAACATACTTCCTTTGAGAAATAAAAATCCCATGTTTAGATCTACCGACCTCAATACCCAAGAAGTATTGTAACTCTCCCAGATCTTTCACCTCAAACTCTTGATGAAGGAGTTTGTTTAAGAGACTCAATCTCACTGTTATCATTCTCTGTCACTACAATATCATCCACATATACAGCAAGCAAAGTCAAGGAAGAGTCCACTCTTTTAATAAACAATGTATGGTCTGACTAGGCCTGTACATAGCCAAATTTTTCAAGGGCTTGTCAAAATCTATCAAACCAAGCCTTAGGGGACTGCTTTAGTCCATACAAGGCTTAATTCAACCGGCAAACCTTCTTACCTGTCTCTGCATCATAAAATCCAGGAAGTAACTGCATGTAGACTTCTTCCTGTAAGTCTCCATTGAGGAAGGCATTTTTAATAACCATCTGGAACAAGGGCCAAGAATAACTGAATGCAAGGGATAGCAGAACTTGAATAGTGGTCATCTTTGCTACTGGAGCAAAAGTATCCAAATAGTCTGTACCATAAGTCTGAGTAAATCCCTTTGCAACTAACCGGGCCTTATACCTTTCAATGGAACCATCACCATTATGTTTCACAGTAAATACCCATCTACATCCAACTGGTTTCTTTCCTTTAGGCTAGTCAACAAGCTCCCAAGTATTATTCCTCAAAAGGGCATCCATTTCAACCTTCATTGCATCTTTCCACTCAGGAACTGACAAGGCTTCCTGCACTGTTCTGGAAATAGGAATATCAACAATGGATGTGAGAAATGACCTGTAAGAGGGGGACAGGCGATCATATGACAGAAACTGGAAAATGCAGTGAGTTGTGGATGTGGTGCAACGTCGTTTGCCTTTATGGACTGCAATGGGGAGGTCAAGGTCATCCAAAGAAGGTAAAGTAGCAACAGTGGAAGGTATCTCAGGGGGACCTAGATCTGATAAAAGGACTTTGGTACCAGGATCTGGATCCGCAGAAGGAACTGGGGCTGGCCTGGACTGCTGATGACCGAAATCAACCTGCCTCTACCGCCTATGATAGACTCTCAAATCCTGACACCTCTGACAAACCTCCCCAGTCCACTACCACCTTGGAGTCCCCTTCTATTAGTAGTTGTTGCACACCTAGCTGAACTGCAAGTTGTACTCCCTGGATGGCAGCTAGCAATTCTGCCCTTGTAGAGTTCCCAACCCCTAGGGGACCCAAGTAGAGGAGGACCACATTGCCAATTTCATTCCTCAGTACCCCTCCCATTCCAGAGGGGCCTGGATTACCTTGACTGCTACCATCGAAATTCAGCTTCAAAAAACCTTCGGGAGGGGGTTCCCAACTCATACCGATTCTAGTCTTTAAAGAGGATCTGCTTGCTACCGCTGACCAATTCCTCCATATATCATTAAAGGAGAATTGGTGGAATGAATCCAGGGATTTCAGCCACCATATCACCCTGATGGAGAGAAGCAACATTGGAATAAAAGCCAAAATTGCTCCTCAAAGAGAGGCATAGATAGTTCTGTGGGTAAACCCTGCGCCCAACCATTATAAGCCTAACTAGTACTTGCAGTGGCAAAAGCAATCGTGCAACATGAACAGCATAGAGCAAGCAAGTTGTTCACAAATGAGAACTAGAGAGAAGCCTTCATGGCACTGCCTGAGTCTAGTATGGAAGGATTGGTTGATCAAAGTCCTTCATGGAGATGTCTGCGATGCATTGCCTCATGTTAGGTGCCACTTGAAGGCATACGCCTTCATTAAATAGTTGTTATGTTAATGATTGAGGGGTCCTAGTTTAGAATCTGATGGTGGGCTTTGTGGGATGAACGAGGGGCTGCGGGTGGTTACAGATGAAGAGTATGGATGGAAAAGCAATAAGACAACTTGCTATCAGAATACACTAAACCAAACTTTATTTCATCGAATCAACCTCCTTGAACTCCAATGACGCTGTTTATAGACTCGACTTATTAACTCAGGTGTCGCTTTACAGACAGACCGACTCAAAAGACTAAACAACTCTAATTTTAAAAATAGGACAAATACATAAGTAACCCATTAAAACAACAACAGCCAGAAGGCCCAGAACAAAAATAGATACTAATTAGGTTTTAGTGGTTTAAGACAACTAGATTCAAAGTGGACCTGAAAGAAGGGAAGCTTTGCAGCGGACTCTAGAAGGATGAGGACATCAGGAGCGGAAGTGTACTGCAATCGCCACGCTCCGTCTAACTTCACCAGGTCGATTTCCGAACCAGCGTCGTAGCCCTCCACGCTCACCTGCCCAGGGTCAAAATTATATCCCTTCTTCTGTTAAAACTACCAACCGCAATCCCCCTCAAAAATAAATAGATAACTTAAGGGACGAATAGAACCAGCCTACCAGGGCCTCCTCAATGGAAGAGCGTTGATCAGCGGTATTGACAAGTCCACGTTGCGTATCCTGTATGGCTCTCAGCAGGTTGTGCTTTTTGTTTTCCAGCTCAAATTCCACTGCCTGGAGCACGAGGAGGCAAATAATTAATTAACAAAATAATTGACTAAATAAATAAGAGGAGAAAAATGAAATGAACATTAAGCTACCGTTACCGCATCGGTTGCTACGCTTGCGGGCCGGAATGATCGACTCTGTGTTGCTTGTTTTGACGACCAATTACCCGTTGGTAGCACAGAGTTCTTTCTGTTTATGGCTTTTGTCGAGATAGGAAGGGACGGTAAAGAAGGAAATGAGAGGTCCATTTACAGAACTTTCAATTGTTGCAGGAGAGATGCAGGTCTTTCTAGGAGAGATGCGAGGTCCATATGGTTCGTGGTATTACGGTTAGAACTGTTCATGGCGGCCGGATAGCCCGACGGACTGGGCCGGACTAACCTGTTTTTTATCAGGCTTGGACAAACTTTTAGACCCACGGGCTCGGGTTCTAAGCATCATGTCAAATTAAACTATGTTTCGGACTTGCATCCAATAATATTACATACAATAAAAAATATAATAACAATAATTGTAGATTATTAAAAATTGTAACAATAACAATAATATTGAAAAATTATTATGTATATTATAACATATAGAGAATATTATATAATATATATAAAATTAAAAATAAATAATTAATATATTTGTCCAATTGGAGCTGCAGTCTTTATGTAAGGGTTGGGTTTATGTGTAATGGTCGAGCGGGGCTCGAGCTCGAGCCTAATCATTTTATGTTGATAAAAAGATAAAGCCTATTGTATTGCCCTTGAATAGATCTTCCCTTTTTCCCTTTGGTTTTTAGGGTAAATTGCAAATAACTACCTATACTTTGGGGAAGTGACAATTACACATTTGAACTTTAATTTGCAATAAATACCCTTTTAAACTTTAAGATTCTAACAAAAACACTCTTATTAATTTATTGGCACTATGTTAGTTAATTTTGAAAAATATTGGGGTTCTAGCCAATAAGGGCAACTTTTGGTCCCTAATACCAATAAAAGTAATACTTTTAATATAATAATTGTTGAAGTTTTAGACAAATTATGTAGCCTATAGTGGTAATTTTAATTATTTATTGTTTAGATAGGAAGTGGAGACCACAACACTCTTGTTGGGTCCTTTTTTGAGCAGTTATCTTAATTGTTTTATGTGTTACCACCATATAAGGGCATATTGGTCTTTGTACTCTTTGTTATTTTAGAATATAAATAATAGTGAAGAGGGCTGTCAGCATTATTGCTCTCTTTTCTCTCTCAAATCTCTTCTCTTCTTCTTTAAGAAATATCCTTTTCTTTTATAGATTTTTTACTTCAGCACTTTTCTACTTTGTATCAGAGCTCGGCTAGGGTTTCTTAGAGTTTTTCCCATGCAGTCCTAGATCAACCGATTGCATGAGGGGATAAAGGGTTGATCGATCTACTTCATATTGCACAGTTCTTGGATTTTTTGGTGTGATATAGTCATCATGAGGGTGATCTATATTTTGGGTTTGGCATCAAAATCAGGAAGAAGAGGAGTGCGAGGAAAAGTCCTAGTTAAGTTGGAGTTTTCAATTTTGATATGATCTTGGTCGCTCAAATATTGTTGGACTTCTCTACGTATTCTATAGGGGTGGTTAGGTTTCTAGAATTTTATAGGCCTTCTGGAGTGGTCGATTCACTTTTTCTCTCTAGTGGAAGACAATGGAAAGAGAGAGATTTCTCCCCATATAGGGTTTTCTTCTTTCGAAAAGGTTGTTACCTTTGTGTGTGATATCGATTTGATCTTTTAGGCTATCTACCAAATTATTTTATACTTTTGAATTGTTTAAAGTAAAATGGAGAGTTGGAGTACCGAGCAGAAGTCCACTAGTAACATGGGTCTAGGTGTTGGAGGTAATAGTGATATCTTTGGGTCTGAAATTATTATAGTAAAGTTTTATAGTACAAATTATCTAGAATGGGCGCAATCAACCAAGATGGCCATTGGTACTCGTGGGAAGCTGGAGTACATCACTGGAGAGGAGAAGAAACTTGATACAAATCCTCCTAGTGGGTACAGGAGAGTTACATGGTGATGACTTAATTGTGTAACTCTATGTTATCTTACATTGGTAAAATTTTTTTGTGAGCTAATACTACAAAGAAGATTTGGGATGGAGTGACTAAAATCTATTCCCATAAACAAAATGTAGCTAGATCCTATCAGTTAAAGAATCAGGTGATTAGTACAAAATAGGGAGATAGACCTCTTGCCACCTATTTCTCCATGCTAAAAACTCATTGGTAGGAGATCGACCACTTAGGAATTGTGGTTTGGGAGATTATAAAGAATGCAACAACCTATCAGAGGTTGGTAGAAAAGAATAGGGCTTTTGAGTTCTTGACTGGGCTGAACCCTGAATTTGACATTGCAAGGAAACATTTTCTTTCTAAAGAAAGTGTAACTCTTTCTCAAGCTTATGCCGTTGTCTTTGGGGAGGAGAGCAGGAGGAATGTCATGTTAAGACAGTCTGGGATTGATCAATCAGCTATGGATAGTACTATTAAATCTAAGCCAAATGGAGACAAAAGGAGTAGTGAGGCTAGGAATGGAGGATAAGAAAGATTTGGTGTGTAAATATTGCAAGAAGACTAAGCATACTAAAGACACCAATTTGAAGCTTTAGCCTCATCTTGTACTAGCTCGGATCAAGAATAAGAAGGGAAATGCAAATGTGGCAATTATAGGAGACCCTTCAGGACCCCTCTTCCAAGATGATTTGGAGTCAATTACAGCAGTAGCAATAGCAGTGAGGACTGAATTGAAAAAGCATGGATAACTTATGAATAAGAAGGATTCAACCAGTTATAGTTCTTTGGATGGGCAAAACAATGCAAGATCCAACCATACTACTTCCTTTGTTCATATAGGTAGTTCATATGCAGTTGCAAATCATGTATCCACCTCAGGTAAGGAGAGACCTCCCTAGATTATAGACTCGGGAGCATCTGAGCACATGACCAATATATCTACCATTTTTAGTTCTTACTAGTTGTGTTCTGGTAGAGATAAAGTCTCTATAACAGAAGGTTCCCATATTCCTATTGTTGGGAAAGGAATAGTTAGAGTAACTAATGACATTACTTTATCCTTTGTCTTACATGTTCCTAAACACCACACTAATCTTCTTTCACTAAGCTCTTTGATAGAAAATTTGAACTGTTAAATGACCTTTCTTCCCGATAATTGTGCATCGCAAGACTTGGAGTCAAAGAGGACGATTGGGAGTGATCGTGAAGTGAATGGAGTCTACCTTCTAGATGAGATTCTGAGGCATCAGAGCCATCATGTTAATAGTAGCAGTAGTAGTTGATCAGAGTCAGTGAGTCAAATGATGCCCTGGCATAATTGTTTGGGTCATCTTTCTTATTCGTTTTTGGGGGATGCAGTTCTCACAACTGCATATCTGATTAGTTGTGTTCCTTCATGCACTCTGGGATTTAAGGCACCTTTCAGCTTGTTTTTTCAAGATGGAGAAATATTTCATATACCTTTGAGAGTCTTTGGGTGTGTATCCTTTATTCACATTCTTGGTCCTCATCGCAAAAAATTGGATCCTAAGGCCAAGAGAAATGTGTTTTCCTTGGGTATGCTTAAAACCAAAAGGGGTATTGTTGTGTTATGATCTAATGTTGGGGAGTAGGCTTGTCACTAGACATGTTCATGGGTCGGGTCGGGCCGGGCTTTCACTCTATATTAACAGATTTTTCTAAGGCCCGATCCTAAGCCCGGCCCGACCATCGGGCCTACAACTTGGGCCCAAGCCTGGCCCTCATAAAAAGCCCAAAGCCCGGGCCTGGGCCCGAGCCCGAAATTTATCCCATGTTGTTACTACTGCCGAAGTGGTTGAATAGAGAGAGAGAGAGAAATTATAAAGAAAAAAAATAAAAAAAATGTATATATTAAATTATAAATATATAAATTTCAATAAATATTATATTATTTATATAATATATAAAATACATATTATGTATTTTATAAAATATATAATGCTGAGTTGGGCCGAGCCGGGCTCGGGCCAGGATTTTTTGACAAATCCCAAGCCTGGCCCGTAACACAGTCGGGCTTACTATGTTAGGCCCGAGGTCAGGCCTGCGGGCCTAATTACATGACCAAGCCCGAGCGGGGTGCGGGCTGGGTCGGGCCATCAGGCTACCCGACCCCTGAACAAGTCTATTTATCACTATGGCCTTACCGACATTGGTTAATAACGGTATAGGATACACAACAAATAGAAATGTATCCCGTAAGTAATTCGTATCGCATCCATACGAATCTGACATGTATCGGACACTACGCACTGGTACAAGACAATACGCGCAAAACGCCGCGTCTCTACTTCATTAAAAATGTAGTATACCAATTTGAACCCAAGTCATTTAAACACGCTATCTTTTCACCACACTCTGAACCATCAAGCCAAGCTTTATCTTATGTTATTAAATGGAATCAAATAAATTTTATTAGTCTTTTGTGTCAACATACAATTTAAACAAAAAAAACTCATTTATATTTAACAGTTATAACTATTCTAAGCAATAATATTCAAAAATAGTATTTTATAAATTAATAGAACAAATAATCTATCAAGTCCATATTTATATAAAAAGATGATTTTTAATATCAATAAAATTATATAAATAAAATAATTACTTTAATATTTAAATTGCACATGATATACATTTTAAATTTTGCATATATTTGTAAAAATTATTAATTAATATTTTAATTCGCATTAATAATTAATAACAATATATTTATTATTTATAAAAAATAAAGATATTGTTTACAAAATATTGAGGAATATAATATTAAATTGAACCTATCAAATTCACTAATATACATTTATTTAAAAATGTTTTTATTTCAAATTATTTATAAAAATAAAAATATTAACAATGGAATAATTATTTTAGTAATTAAAGATTATGAATTTGTATAGGATATGTATCTTAGAAATTTTAACAAATTTGATATACTTTATGTTAATATTGTATTTTTGTGAATTTTTAATTGGTATTTTAATTTGCATTTGAGAATTTAATATTTAGTTGATTTTTTTGTTAATGTTAAAAAATTAAAATAGTAAAATAAAAAAGTAAGTGATATAATAATTAAAATATAATATGCACATGTGTTTAGTGTCTTTGACTCTTGATTTATGCATTATAAATAAAATTATATGATATCTAGGCATCCCAATATATTAATTGTAATATATTTTTTCATATACACCATTAAAATATACATTTTCTATGTATTTATACATTATTCATGACTTTTGGTCTTAAATTTAGTGTCATTAATGTATTTGTGGAATTTGTATGTATATCCCTAACGTATCCATCTATTTTCATATTTTTTTCGTTCGTATCCATGCGTTTCCAAAGTGTATCTGTATCCGTAGTCTCCCATACGATATCTGACATCGATACTTTAATCATTGCTATGGATGTTACCTTTTTTAAGCTTATTATATTTTTCTTGGGTGGTTTTCCTCAGTGGGAGTGTTTTGGGGAGGAGAACTCACAATTTATCCCTCTTCCTGTGTCATTTATTCCTTCATCTGATCCACCTCCACCATCAACGACTACAATCCCACTGTCTATTTCACAACGACCAACCTCACAGGTATGTCAGCGCCACTGGAGGAGGGTTGACTCTACACATGCTCAAATAGAAGAACCTGCACCACTCTTCGTCAATTCATCTGAGATCCCAGGTTCAGCTGATACAGTTCCAAGTATTTCCTTTGAGCATGAGCCTGATATTTCCCCTAATAATGATGTTTTTGTATCTAACATTGTTGTGGCAGTTGATACCACTAACCTTGATTTTTCCATTGCACCCCGCTAAGGGAAGAAAAGTGTAYAACTCATTGTATTTCACACCATCCCTCCTATAGTGCATTATCACCCTCCTACCGTGCTTTCTTTTTTCATTGGATTATGTGTCTATACCTAGGAATATTAGTAAGGCTCTTTTAAACCTTAATAGAAACTAGCTATGCAAAAAGAAATGGAAGCTTTGGTTAAGAATCAGACATGGGAAATAGTTGATCTTCCCATAGACAAATAAATAGTCGGATGCAGATGGGTGTTCACTGTGAAGTACGGGGCTGATGACAGCATAGAGAGGTATAAAGCAAGGTTGGTTGCAAAAGGATACACATAGACCTATGGTATTGATTACTTTGAGACTTTTGCAATAGTTGCTAAGATAAGCTCAGTTCTGATTCTCTTATCCCTATCAGCTACCTATTCATGGCCTCTATTCCAATTTGATGTTAAAAATGCTTTCCTTAATGGTGATTTGCAAGATGAGGTATTTATGGACATTCTAGTTGGTTTTTATGAGAATGTTAGTAAGGGAAAAGTTTGCATGCTGAAGAAATCACTATGGTTTGAAACAATCACTTGGGGCATGGTTTGATAGGTTTAGAGTAGTACTTATCCATTTGGGGTACACACAGACTCAATCTAACCATATTTTCTTTGTAAAAAGGAGAGAGACACTCTTGTTAGCATTGATTGTATATGTAGATGATATAATTGTTATAGGAAATGAAATGAAAGAGATTGATGCACTCAAGAAGTCACTACAGCAAGAGTTTGAGATCAACGATCTGGGTGAACTGAAATACTTTATAGCAATTGAGGTTTCAAGATCCAAGTATGGGATTTTCATCTATTAAAGGAAGTTTGTGTTGGATTTACTACAGGAGGTTGGGAAGCTATGAACTAAACCAACTAGTACTCCTATTAACCTAAATCATAGAATTAATGCTTTGGATGGTCAATTGGTTATTAGAGGATGGTAACACATCTAGACATCTTCTATGTTGTTAGTGTTATGAGCCTATATGCTCATCGGGTTCAGCACTAGGACACCATTGAGAGGATACTTGCATACCTGAAAAATCATTTTGGCAGAGGGATTATTTTCTCCGACCATGAAAATTTAAAATTGGAGTCCTATACAGATGCAAATTGGGTAGGTTGCTTAGATGACAGGAGATTTACATCAGGGATATGCACCTTTGTCGGAGGAAACTTGATCTCATGGAAGAGTAAAAAACAATAAGTTATGGCTATATCAAGTGTAGAGGTTGAATATAGATCTATGGCTCATGGTGTTTTAGAACTACTTTGGGTGAAATCTTTACTGAGTGAGATTGGAATAAAAGCTAATGAACTCATGATGTTATATTGTGACAACCAAGCTGCAATCAATATTGCCTACAATCCAATTCAACATGATAGGACTAAACACATTGAGGTTGATAGGCACTTCGTAAGAGAAAGTGTGACAACTGAAGAAATTAATTAGCCTTATGTTTCCTCTAAACTACAACTGGCTAATGTCTTCACCAAAGGGGTTGCAAAGAACAAGCTTGAATACAATCTACGCAATTTAGGAATGCGTAACATTTATTTACAACTTGACGGAGAGTGTTGAGGTTTTAGACAAATTGTGTAGTCTATAGTGATTGTTTTTTATTATTTATTGTTTAGATAGGAAGTGAGGACCACAACACTCTTGTTGGGTCATTTTTTGAATAGTTGTTTTAATTGTTTTATGTGTTAGCTGCCCTATAAAGGGCGTATTGGTCTTTGTATTCTTTATTATTTTAGACTATAAATAATAGTGAAGAGGGTAACCATCATTATTGCTCTCTTTTCTCCCTCAAATTTCTTATCAGCTTCAAGAAATATTCATTTTTTTTACAGATTTTTTATTTTAGCAATTTTCTACTATAACCAAAACGGGATAACTTTTTTGAAAAAAAAATCAAATAAGGGCACTATTATATGAGATTAGTGCCAAACGTCCAACTTCATCCATAAAAGCTTAGATATTCTGGTTGGAGGATCCACGTCGACCAGCGCCTTCTCTATTGTGTTCTTCCATTTTAGGGTAATTTGAAGCCGAGAGAAAGATTGGAACAACTCAAGTAATGCCTACAATCAACGAATGGTGAGAAATCACCAAAAGTCCAAAACAAAATCAATGGAATCACCGTTGTGAGGTTTTTTCTACAGAGATAGGAAGGTCTGAAAATGATGCAGAGAGGGAGAGGGATAAGAAGAATAAGAAAAGAGAGAGAGAGAGAGAGAGAGAGAGAGAGAGAGATTTGGATGTCTACTAACAACTTATTTGATTGTAGTCAGAATTTGATTCGAATATAAACATGAAATTTGGATATACCCAAATTTGATCGATTCGAGTCATTTGCAGCCCTACTGGTAGGGGTCCTCACGGTTCATTTACTGAATCGTGGGCCTATTTTTGAATCCGAATCGGTACTATCAGTTTCTAGAAAAGCGATAACCGAAACTGAGTCAAAACCGATCGATTAATCATTTGACCAATTCAATTTGTCGATTTTTTTATATTTATATATATTATAAAATATATAAACATATAATAACAACTAGAAATATATAATATTATATTTTAAATAATATACAATATATAATATATTATATATTATAAATATACATATTTATTAATTTATAATATATAAATAATATCGAATATATAAAAATATATATAATATACATAAATATGCATATAATATATAAAAATATATGTATACTGGACAATTCAATTAAATGCCGATTTTTTATAGCCAAAACGAGCCGATACCTTCGGTTTTATAAATATCGAATCGAAACAAAACCGACCGATCCGATTAACCGGAATTTTCGGTTCGGTCTCCTCGCTTCGTTTCGGTTTGTTTTTCCGGTCTTTCGATTTTTCTTACTCACCCCTCTACCTACTGGCGCTGCCTCAACTGAAACGGATAACTGCTTATTATGCACATTACTGGCCAGAAAATTTTCTCACTCCCAGATTCCGAAAATCCTCTTGATTTCTCTCTATCGATCACCGTCTCGAATTTTTCTTCTACCTATTTTTCTCTGTCACTCGCCTCTTTTCCCTCATGCTAGCTTTGCAAAACAACTTCTCTTTCACCATTCTATCATCCATTTCGAGCCATTCTCTCTCTGCCCGTCGTTTTAACAATGACAATGCTGCTCCAAGAGTTGCAAGACCTGCACTGAGATTCCAGGAAATCCCCATCGAATCCCTAGAATTGCAGGCCATGAGCGACAAGACCTCTTCAAGCAAAGGAGAGGATAAAACCACACAGACGGACACTGAACATGGTGTTCGAAATGCCAAGGGAGGTGAAGAAGAATTTAAGGGAATATCTGGAATTCGAGTTCCGAGACGCGGTTACATCTCCGTTTCCAAATCTAAACTTCTTGATGCCGTACTGTCCATGTTTGATTCGAAACAAGATGTAGACGACTTCGTTCGCTTATCCTCGTAGCTACTCTCTATTATCTCTGTCACTACTATATTTCTCTAAGTATTAGCTTTAACCTGTTATCAATCGAAGGTTCAATCAACACTGTTGTTGCTTTTGTTAGTTGTTTTTAGTTTCATTGCATGGAATCAAAATTATTTCCCCAAAGTTCATTATTTTCTTAACGCATAAAATCTAATGTGCCATGTGTTTGTATTATTTCAGGTGCTTGGACTCAATTCTTCATGCTGAGCATAAAAGTATTCTAGAAGAAATGCGAATTGATTATTGCCTTATCCATTCTATTGAAAGCAATGAGAGTACTTGTGAGAGTTTAGCTAGATTAGAAGAAGAGTTCGTGGCCAATGGGGATTACTCTGAATCAGCCTATAACAGCAGATATGGGGTTGTACCTGAAAAATGCATGCCTTTCAATTATGGCTTGGACTTGGGATCTCTATTAAGTTCATCCTTCAAAAACTTAAGAAGAATTTCCACCGGAGGGTCGAGGTTTGTTGCCAGGGGTATCTGTTTTTTTTTTTGATCTAGTAGTCCATATTGGCAATTTATGTGGAAGAATTAATTATATGTGAGCATGTAGGACTGAACATCCAATTTCTGTTAGCGAATAGACCAATGACATGCATCTCTCATTGGGTATCACTACATAAATAGACGTGGAATATTGTAAATAATTCTTATTAGAGAAATTTGACATGATCAACCAGAATATCAATCAAACACTAGAACTTTTTTTTTTTTTTAAATGGTGTTACACTGTGTTGTTTCACATCATCTTCCAATTCAGTGTCATCAACTATAGGACTACTAAAGCCAAATTCCATACCACCACATGGTTACCTTGCATTGTTATATTGGTGAGTTTTCTTTGGGAATTCAGTCATATCTGGAAGGAAAACATATGTTGAAGGAGATATTCGACATCCAAGGACCAAGATGGATGGATGACCTTGGGAATTTTAAAGAATTTCTTGTCTGAGTTAGGTCTTGGAATATCTCAGGATCATTGCATTGCTTTCAGGCAAAGATTATGTGAAAAGCGAGTAAACTGACTTTCTATAGGTCAACCCTTTTAAGGATTAAAATCATGTGTAGGACAAGGTATCATGGGCACAATTCTCTTAAAAACTGATAATATGGGGACTCTTATAAAAAATGAAAAGTAGAGCTTATATTCAAATGAATTTGAGGTTTTTGTATTTTTTGAGATATGCATAAATTAACTTGCATAGGTCTAACCATTTTGGTGAAACTTGGCCACAGGTAGAATTGTCATGAGATTTTGATTATTTGGTGCATTTTCTATGAAGTTAAGACTCATACAAGGTTTAACCATTGACCTCGAGTCTAACATTCACTTTCTATGCCAAATTTACCAAATGCATTATTACCTAAATTTTACATTTGTTAGTTGTGTACTTATTTTCTTTTTATGTTTTGGGATTTTATCTTTTTGGCATACTCAATTGTTATAGTCTCATGAAGATATTGCCTAGATAGATAATATATGTAATATTGAACTTATTATGGCTAACTACTTGTAGAGTTCCTCTTGCCGCTCGTTTCCAACGCACTTTCATGAAACTTCTACATGATGGTCAGTTTGAAGAGCTATCAAAAACAGATTTGTTGTTGGCATCTGCATTGAACACTGATTATCTCCTTACGCTGCCAATATATATTGATTGGAAGAGAGCATCTGAATCCAATGCAATAATATTCAGGTGAGTTTTTATGTATCTATGTGCTTGCAACCTTTGTTTACACCTTTATGTTCATTTTGGTAGATTTCAACAACGAACTAAGTGCCATTTCTTCCTCAATGGCATGTTAACCTTAGCTCTAAGGCAGATTGATGGCATTTCGTTCTCTTACCTCAACTCAATTCAATTAACTTACCCTTAATTGAAGTCCTTAAATAATTTTTACTGTCCTGCCTTTGTGCTTTAGGGCCATATTTCTACAAAATTTGAAGTCATTAAATAATTTTTACTTGGTGTGATCATGGGTTGGTTCGGTTTGGTTCCAAGGCAGAACCTAGACTACCTTGTAGAGGTCGGTTCTAGGTTTTTGGAACCAGAACCTATCCTAAAGATCGGTTCCAAGGCTGGTTCTGGCATTGGCGGTTTTGAGGATGGTCTCAAGGTGTACCCAAGGAACCTATTCTTTATAAAAATAATAATAGCATAACAATCATAAAATGTTTAAACTTGATTTTCAATAATGATTATATATAGTGTACCTAGAAAGAATTAATAGTTGTGTTTTACTCCAAAGAAAAAAACCTCATTGGTTATTATCCCCCCACTAGTATTCTCTCTATAAAGCTGAGGGTGAGATTTGCTTTCACTGTTAGACAGTGTATGCCCTTAGCTCCAATAAGATTGATGTACATAAACATTTACTTGTAAATGAATAAAGTATATTGTTGTTTCATGTTCATATTGGTGTGTTTTTTGTGTATTACCCCTTAAACTGGACAATTAAGAGACTCGTGTTAGTTTAGAATGTTCTCAACCATTGGATAGATTTGGAGAGTTTATCCTGACGAGACTAACACCGGTGTGCTGCCAAGCAGTTGGAGCAGCTTGTCTCAGCTTCTAGGGTTAGACCCTAAGCACAACCAATGGGTTTTTTTATCAAAGCACTGAACCCAGACTGATTTCTAGTTATGTCCTAGACCTTGGAGATAGATGGGCAAAACTAGAAAGTTACACATAACACCAGACTTGATTATGGTGTTGGACTAGGCTGTCTTTGATATGCCAACTAGTGAGATCCATCAAGGGTCAAATACCTGGGTATGTTGGGGTAGTTTAAGAATTCACCTGAGTGGGTGATCATAGTGATAGGATCGACCCCTTTGTCAGAAAAAGTGAATGTCGGGGTTTACACTCTCTCCGATGGAAACCTAAACTGCCGGTAGTGGATTTCACCTGTGTCTAAAATATGGTTTTGCAAAATGTATTTATACATTATATACTATTTTATAAAAAAAGGTTTTAATCCCAGGATCCATCTGAGCAGAGAGTGTGACTGTTAAAGTGAGCCGAATAAGGGTAGTTTAGTCATCTTATCTTTGTTAAGTTGTTTGCTTATGTGGCAGTCTTATTAGAGACACTCTGCCCCACACTTAAGTAAGGGCAGTTTAGTCTTTGTAAATGTGATTAGAGACTAATAACTATTAAGGGGTCGACTGATAGGGTTAACCTATCAGATTCGATAGTCCCTTCTTTTCTTTCTTCTTCTTCTCTTCTTCTCCCTCTTCTTCTTCCTCCTCTTGCTGGTTCGGGTTACTGTAGCAGCAGTCCAAACATGGTATCAGAGCCATGTTCCTGACCTACTTCAGTTYGTGAAACATCTCAGCAGGGTTCGTGACCTCTCTTCCTTCGTTTCTGGGCTGTCAATGGAGAGAACTGGTTCGTCCTAGGTTTGAAACACCTCAGCTTGTCTCTCTCTGCTGCACATAACCTTCTTCATTAAGAAAAGCAGTTTCAGCAGTGAATGGTTGGTTGAGACTCTCAAAGGAAGGTCGGTTATCTCTTCTTCTTGTATTGCTGGTATTTCTGGGTAGAAAACCTTCAACAACCTGCTAGTACTGATCATAACCTAGAGAACTAGGTTCATTGTTGCCCTAGTTCTTGGAGAGAACCCCAAGAACGGGYTGTGTGTACAGTAGCCGAATGGTGTAGGGGCTGCTGTAAGTTGCTGAGTGGTGTAAGGGCTGCTGTAAGTGGCCAAGTGGTGTAAAGTGTAATGCAATGACCTAGCCGAGTTCTTTGTGGTCGTGTAGTGCCCTCTTAAAAGTGTTAAACAGGTCTGTACTGGGTGTAATAGATATGACTATGTGGTGGTGCTCGTGATGCTCAATCTTTATTGAGTGGCTGTAAGAGGGCTTGCATGTGAGCAGTAAGTGTTAAATCGATGTTTATGTGGTTCGTGGTGTTGTGAAATCAGTAGTAGTGTGAACAAGAACAAGGCGTGTGTACCCATTGTTGTGTTTAAGGGCTGTTATAGGAGCTGAAACATCAAACTTCTAATAACAGCACTCAGTTTGTAGCTGAGAATTCAGGTTAGAGGCAACGATGAAAGAGTACCATGGCAGCAATGGGAGATGGGTGTAATGATTAGAAACCTAGTGTGGTGGTTTCCTCTGACTATCTAGGTGTACAGATGACCTCAATTAAACTGAATGGGGAGAACTATGTTCCATGGGCCAAATCAGTGGAAGTTTTCCTCAAGGCAAAGAGTAAAGTGAAGCATGTAAAAGATGATAAACCACCGGCTGACTCTCCAGGGTTTGTTGATTGGGAACAAGAGGATGCTCAAATCATGACTTGGCTATGGAATAGTATGGAACCCAAAATTAGTGCCAACTTCATGTTCCTAGATACGGCTAAGGATATATGGGAACATGCTAAGAAGTTGTATTCTGGACAAGATAATACWACAAGGGTATATCAACTTTATCAGGAATACTTTGATTTGCAACAAGGAAACAAAACMCTAGAAGAGTACTATGCCTGCATGAAGAATTTAAGGAATGAACTCAATGTCTATCATCCCCTCACTCCAGATGTTAAAGTTCAGCAACAACAGAGRGAACAACTAGATGTTACAAGATTCTTAGTGGGGTTGAAATCGGAGTATGAACCARTTAGAGCCCAAATATTAGGGAGCTCTACTCTTCCTACACTTGAGGAAGTATTCTCAYGRCTTCGTAGGATTTCTTTGGGACAGACARAGAATCCCACACAGTCTGATAGATCAGCACTTGTGACAGCTAGAGGAAGTGGACGTGGTACAAGAGGGGGAGGACATGCCTCCCAAGGAGGCCGTGGCARTTCCATGTTTGGCCGGGGTGGTGGTCGTGACTCAGGGGGAGGCCGTGGCAAAGGAAAGAGTAGCTCTGCAAGGAAGTGTACTCATTGTGGCAGGGAAGGACACACGGTGTATATCTGTTATGATCTACATGGCCCTCCCTCTAAATGGGCTAATCATGTTGTAGCTGGTGAGGTTGATATCAGTGACAGTAAACAGGCAGACCTAACTCCTCCCACATCTACATATACTTCTGGGAGGGAGATGGTGAGTGTACCGCGTGATGAGTATGAACGGTTCCTTTAAACCACTTCACAGGATACCACTGCCAATCTTGTCCACTCAGGTATTGCTTGCATGTCACCTAAAACCTCTTCCTGGATTATTGACTCTGGAGCCTCTGATCACATGACTCCAGGTGTGTTCTCCTCTCTTTCTGAAACTTCCACATCACAAACTGTTACACTTTCCAATGGGTCTTCATCTCCGATCTGTGGTGTTGGTAATGTTGACATGGCTTCTCTTTCTTTATCATTTGTTTTATATGTACCTAAGTTTCCATTCAATCTTATGTCTGTTAGTAAAATAACCAAGGCTCTTAACTATTCTGTTACCTTTTTTCCTTCCACTTGTCACGACGGGGAAGAAGATTGGTGGGGGGCATGAAGCTGGTGGATTGTACTATCTTGACGGTGGTGGATCTTCAATTGCTCTTCATACTTCACTTACTCCTCTACAGTGCCATTGCCGACTGTGACATCCTTCTCTCAAGGCTCTCAAGATATTAGTTCCGTCTTTGAGTCATTTGTCAGTTTTGCAATGTGAGTCATGTCAGTTTGGGAAACATCGTCGTGTTTCCTTTAGTCCTAGAGTTGAGAGTCGTATGTTGAATCATTTTTCTTTGGTTGATTTAGATGTTTGGGGCCCAATCAAAGTAGAGTCTTATAATGGGTACAAGTATTTTGTCTCTTTTATTGATAATTGTTCAAGAATGACATGGATTTACTTAATGAAAGAAAGGACTGAATTATTTTCCATTTTTCAAAAATTCCATGCTGAAATACGYACACAATTTGGTGTTCCAATCAAAGTTCTCCGTTCAGATAATGGTCGTGAATACTTTCTTACTTTATTTCAATAATATTTAGAACATGGCATTATTCATCAAACCTCATGTGCATTCACTCCTCAACAAAATGGGGTGGCTGAACGAAAGAACCGTCAGCTCCTTGAAACTGCTCGGTCTATTCTTCATCATATGAATGTTCCTAAATGGTTTTGGAGTGATGCTGTACTCACTGCATGTTTCCTCATTAATCGGATGCTCTCTTTCATTCTTCATGGTCACTCCCCCTTCTCTATCTTGTTCCCCACTTTATCTCCATTTCCATTAACTCGTTGTGTCTTTGGTTGTGTGTGCTTTGTCCATAATCTGAGTCCTGGAATAGACAAGCTAGATGCATGCTCCATTAAATGTGTCTTTCTTGGCTACTCTCGGACTAAAAAAGGAAAGAAGTGTTATAATCCCATTACTCGAAAGTGCTATGTCTACTCTGATGTCACTTTTTTTGAGTCTGTTCCCTTCTTCTCAAGACCTGAAGCACCTTCGTCTCCACCCTTACTTCCTCTTCCTCTTCCTGTCAGTGATTCAGTTCCAGATGCTGCTGTTGGAGTAGACTCATCACCTCATCCAGTGCAGATCACCACTGAACGACCACCGATCCGACAAGTGTATACACGTCGAACGACACCGGCCCCTCCTCCAGCTTCTACCTCATCTGCGAATCCTGTCATGGCTCCTGTTGCTGAACCCTCAAACCTTGACCTACCCATTGACTTACGGAAAGGTAAACGTAGTTCTACCCTCCATCCCTTTTCCAATTTTGTTTCATTATCTCGTCTT